TTTTTTTTTTTTTTTCTATCGAGGCAGATTTATGTCCCAACAAATGTGGTGAGTCCGGATTATGGGAGCTGGTCCTCTATTCCTTATCCTCGCTGGGTTAATACCCAGCCTGTCTCCTCCCGCGTTGGGTCTCGATGGTTCTTCATTCTCCACGTCACAGAAGTTCCTGGTCTCCAAGCCCTTCTGCACAGCGGTCTTACTGGGCAGCGGGTCATACTCTACCTGTGCTCTTTACTGAGCCTGGTTCCATCAGTCTTCCCAAGTACTGCCTTCTAGCCCCACCCCTTGGGCTGACCTCCAGGGATTAGGCGCCTGAGTCCTCCCCAGACCTTGGCCCCGCCCTCTCCGTGTAGCCTGGCCTCTCGGGGCCAATACCGCTTCGTTCATGCCCCTTCAGGTACGATGTTGCAGCGTCTGATGTGGTGCAGTAACTGCGTCCAGGACAATTACATTTGTCGAAAGTCCAGAGATTGCGGGGGTGAGAGAGCTGGGGCCAGCTGCAGGGGTTGGCAAGAGAGGGGCGGAGCCAGAGGGCAGCGTGAGTCTAGAGAGGGCGGAGACTGGAGAAAAAGCAGGGCGGAGCCCAAGTGGAGGGAGTTGAGAGAGGGCCAGCACCCTTGAAGAAACACCCGACCTTAATCCCCTGTCCCCAGTTCGCCACATCAACGTCCATGAAAAGGAAGACATGATCCTGGACTGTGAGCTCAACTGGCATAAGTTATCTCAAGGCCTGACCTATTACAGCTTTTACAGGGTGGGCCCTTCAACCCCATCAACCCCAAGTCCATTAGACTTCTGTGAGCCCCCACCTCTATATCCACAGCCTTGGTCTCACGATCCCTATGACCCATGACCTACCAAGTTTGACCTCGGATCCCCGGGGACCCCATACCCTTAGCGGTATACCCTGGACTCCCATCTCCCCCACTGAGATCCCGTGATGTTCTCACCCCTGTAATTCCCCAACCCCTGAATTCCCCCAGGCCTCTGTGACCCCTTGAGCTTTGGGCCTAGGTTTGGGGGAGCAATTCTGAGACCTTGTTGTACAAGGGGAAATGGCCCACCCTGACCAAGCCCCTCGTGAGGCCAGAGGATGCAGGTGACTACCGCTGCGAGTTGGGCATTGAGCGATCCGGCCCAGCCACGGTCATCCATTTTCAAGTCACAGGTCAGAGCTGGGGAGTCCACGGAGGTGTGGGAGTCAGGGTCCTGGGTTTGGGGGATGGCAGGCAGCGTGGGGGCGTGGTCTTCGGGTTAAAACTTCCCTTCGGGGTGTGGATTCAGGCCACGGGGGTGGGGCTCCCTGTTCTGGGTGTGGCCACCGCTCTCATTGACCGGCCTTCCAGCAGTGAAGGTCATAATTATCTCCTTGAAGGCCTGGGTCTTGGGGGAGGTTGGTGTGGAGAGAGCATGCCTGGGCCAGGGCGGACCCTTGGGGCCTGCTCAGGTCGGCTCTTTCCCTCTCCTCTGTCAGTGTTGCCTCAAAGAATCTTTGGGGAGATCACGTCCAAGTCTTCGACCTTTGTAACCCAGCCATCAACCACTGAAACCCAGTCACCAACCATTAGAACACAGTCCCCAGCCATTGGGACCGAGGCTGAGGAAATCTGGGGTGACCTTTCCCCAACCCTCCGGCCCTCCGAGTGTTCAAACCCGAAGAACGTGCAGACAGGCCTTCTGGTAGGGCTGCTGCTCTGGTCCTTTTTGCTGCTGATCCTGGGCTTTGTCGCCGGGTGAGCCAACCACTGAAGAGGCAGGACGCGGAGAGAGGGGCGGGGTCTCCACCTTCCTACTGCAGGAGAGGTCCTGTGGGGGATGGGGCTTAGAAAACTGGGTGGGGCTTACCCAGGTGGGCAAAGCTTAGGCCACTGCTAGAAAATGATCAGATATTAGGAGGCTGGGGAAGGTGTCCCTCACTGGGGACCTGATCCTTTACCGCGTTTCGTGCCCCACCCTCCCCCAGCATACTCTGCTTTCGGTCTGGGGTGGTGATCGATTCCGTAAAGTCCAGATACCACACCGAAATGGCAGCTGCTCCGCGGGACCAGGCTCCACAGAGTCAGCTGTCACAGAGCCACGTTCTCAAAGTACCGAAGGACAAGGACACAGGACCAAGTCACAAATAAAGATTTATCCGGTTGCTGAAATATCAGATTCATTTCCTCGGGTCTGATCCTCAGTGTTGGTTTCCTGAGAGGAGAGCTCTGGGGCTGGTCTCCTGTCCTAGGAGACCCGGAAGCGGGGTCCCTTGGTCAGGGCGGGGCCACCTGGCTGAGATGTAATTCCAGCACCGAGGAGTGGGGAAGAGCCAGCCCTACCCAGATCTCCTCCCCCAGGCCCATCTCTTGACAGGACGCCCCCTCCTCACTCTTCCGGCCGGCTTTCCTCTGGGGTTTTCCTGTCCCCCAGCCACTGCTGCGAGCCGGGGCAGAGGCAAAGGCTGAACACGAACAGCGGGTTTGGGAACCAAGCAGGGAGAGCGGAAACAGGACGCCGGGGTGCTGTTGGGACTTGACGCAGGGTAAGAATCGGGGACCCGGGGATCCTCACGCCTCCTACTTGAGACCCAAGAGCCAGTCCCCAGGCATCTCCCATGAGAGCACCCAGGAGTTAGGCTCCCATCCTTCTCCTCCACCCGCACTCATTAGTCTGAGCCACCCCGCTACCCCAACGCGACCGCTCAAGGGCCTCATCTGGAAGGAATGCATGAAAAGGTCTAGCGTGAGAGGGGGCGGTCCGCATCATCCTGGAACCATAGGCGGAGCCTCCCTTTGTTGCCGTCCAATCAGACTCGGAGTTGGGTTTCTGGGCGGGGCCAATGGAGCGTCCTGGGAGTGTCTCTAGGGAAGTCGGGGGCCCAGTGTAGGCAGGTAGAAAGCGGCGGC